AAAAAGAACACAGAATATTTGCTCTCTCTTGATATGGAAGCCATAGGAGCGAACACAATTCAAGCAAACTATTCCACGTTTTAACATCCTCCTCCGCTAAGAATCAAAAAAAATGCCCTATCTTCATTTTGCTCCTTTATATAAGCTACCTGAGCTAAGTAGAGTGTAATATAAAATTTGTACTTAAAAACAAAAATATATTAATGGAAACAGAGAGCAGCAAAGTGATAGCTACCACCAGGAATAAGAGCTAAATAAAAGCCACGTGCCAGATCTTTAGGAAGCATGGGAGTAAAATTCATATTGGTTTGTGCTTAATAGAAGCACAAAACAAGCACAAGAATGTCATCTTAGCATGTGAAATAGCTGTATTCGCCACACTGGAAGGTAATTGAATTGTATTAGAGGTAACCAATCTATAGACACAGTGTAAGTTAATTTCACGTGTTAGCTTATTTAGGTATTACTCAGTTGTATTAACATGATGCATTTCAAAAGGTGCATTACTCTCACATCATTTTTCAAAAACATGTTCTTACCAGATAAGCAAAGAGTATCTAATATGAAGCTGATGTATCTCAACAGTCAAACCATCCTGTGACACCTTCTTAATTCACTTTACTTTATGTGGCCATGCAAGTGAAGACAACAACATTGGAAATAGTAGTAATGTTGTTCTGGTTAGTTCTTACATGTCCGTTTTAAAACATAAGAAAAACCCGTTAAACCATAGAACTCTGATATTTAACTGGCAGAAGTTAAATAATTAACTAAATCATGGGCACGTATCAGAAATTATTAAGTTTTGCACAACTGAGATGTTTTGCATCATGTCAGATAGGTAACATGAATAACATGGAATCGCCATCTAGACTTCAATGACTAATAAAAAGGACATATCGCATGGCATCAGCAGCAGTTTAAATTAGAGAAATCATCTGAGAAGGCATTTCATAAACATGAACTCAAAAAAATCAAAAGTTAAAAACCCAAAGGCTTTTTAGCACATTTGTCTACAAAATCAACTTAAATTTCAACCAAAACTGCCAAACATTTATTCAGATTGCAGAATAATGTTAGAAGCTTTCTTTTGACAATAAAAATGGCATCTTTTCACACTGTAATTAATTGGTTTCCACTGCAATGCAGCACAGAAAGTTGATTTCAACTCAACTTTACTGAAAACAATAGCTTGGTATTTGCAAGCTGAAGTTCTGATTATTTCAGTCCAGTGCGTTTAACAACTGGCACATCAAGTTCCGGGACTATTACATGAAATTATCAACCAGATAAGATAATGCAGCATCAGTGTTTACCTCTTGCCATTACAGCAAAAGCTGAGATCAGAGCTTTTCTAACTGAAATCATGGTAAAAGAAGGGTTACTGTTCTGTCAAAAATGTGGTTTATTATAAAGGAAAGCACTCTGCATGAAACCAATACATATCAGAAGAGAAGCAAGAGAACAGCATAAAAAAAATTCTGCATGCAAGTTTGCATGATGACATCCACCATGTTCCATAAGTAAATTTCAATATTGTATTTTAAGAATACATTTTTAAAACAAAATATGAATTTCATTTTTGCTGTCAATTCAAAATTACATTACATTCATTATTAAAACCAGAAAGTTTTATTTTTAATGAAAACGCTTAGAGGAAAAAATTTGTAATTCTGGTATTTCTAAGCTACATTAAAATATTCTTAACATAAAGTGACCATTTCAGTTAATCGAAGTATATTAAAAATTGTCAGATATGTGAAGTCTAAACTAGACTCTCCCCCCCTCCCCTTTGGCTTTACAACTATAGCAATCTTATGTATAACTTTTAATTACATCAGAAAAAACATTCTTTCTAATGATACTGAATCTTGGCCATAGAGACAACATTCATAACGGGGTAACCTCTTCCTACTACTGTAAGAGAGAGGTATTAACTAGTACCACTACTTAAGAGAAAGAAAGGAGGGGGGAGAGAGAAACTGAGTGCATCCATGTCTATATATACACAAAGTAGAAACAGACAGGGAATATTAACACAAAACTAATATTTACTTTACCAGTCTGGTAGCCAGGATCTCTGCTACGTACATAATTAAAATGTTGAAGATAATATAAGTTTTTACTGGGTAGCTACAGAATGATCAGTTTTCTCTTTAGCTGACAAATTCCAGTGAGTTTAAGAACAGCCTCTTTTACGAATAAATTAACAAGTAGAAAAAGCGCAACCTCCCATACAACTTAAACATCCAATATTTAAACTGAATGCCAACTATAAATCACATTTGTATTATAAGCTTATAAAATTGTGTTTAAAATTAACACAGATTTGAATTACACTAGTTCCATCTATCTGTTAAATCCATCAGAAAGGACCTTATAAATTAAGACTTTATATTCAGGATTGATTTAAAGAACGGATTTACTGCATAGAAAAGATCTGCACCTGGACTATCCCACTGGGGGAGTGCAGAGGGGGAAGTTTTGAGAGGGAAAAAAAAAAAACCAACACAAAACCAAAAAAAAACATTTTCTGAAATATTTACAGCTCAAGGTACTTAAGCATCTGGAACTTGCTTTAATATCCTTGTTCACAAACGACAACAGTGTAGCTATTTTAATGGAATTAAAATTGAAAGCTACAAATGCCTTTAAAGACAATTTACCAATGAAACTATTCTACAACAATAGCATACCAAACAGAATTTGTAGTTACATCTCTTATACCTACTCTTGGCAATTAAAATTTTAGTATTTTGGAGTTCCAGTGCTGCAAACTGGACTCTACTGATAAATATAATTAGATTCTCTACATCTCATCTGGGGAAAACATCCCCGTACTCACTAGTTCAGTGAATACGTAATAGCAGGAAGTCCTAAGAAAAGAATAAATGCAGATAGGTGAAACAAGTTGCAATTTACATAATGGTGAACACAATTTGGTTTTGTGATCTCCTTGAAGCTTCTTGTTTCAAAATTTTACTTCAGCCCACGGAAAAGCACAATTGCTATAACAAAAATGCCTTTAAATCAGTGGTCTTCAACCTTTTTCACTTACAGACTAACAAAGAGTTCTCAAAAGAGGTGAAGGCTCGGTGTAGCCTAGATCTCCTAACAACAGACTTCCTTTTTCTTTGTTATCTTCAGCAACTCTTCATATGCAGTGGGTCTGCAAATCATAGATTGGAAAATACCATTCTGGTAACTCATGTTGCTTTTAATTTAGCTCCATTAACTTTTCAAACAAAAAAAGATGCTGTCTACTTCAGAGAGAACGTGGTTCCATAGGTCTCATATCAAACACTATTTTGTTTTCACACAATAGCAAAATATAAAACCTTAAGAGTCAAGTTTAGGAAAAAAACACTCTTAGATGTTACTTTTTGTGCAAGTGGCTGCCATTTCACTGATGGTGCTGCAACATGAAATATGCCTGCTTTGTAATTCTTTGCCATGTCAGAAAAGGTTAGGACAAGGAGTGGCTGGAGTAGCTCAGTGTGACAAGCACAAGGAAAACCAGTATACATTAAAGCTGGAAAAAGACAGTACATGCAGAGGAAATCCTGATTAGATTGTACAAACATTAACTTCAATAGAAAGTACCTCCATCTCTCTTATCCTAAGAAAATATTCTGCCAAACAGATGATCTGAACCAATGTTTTCATCTGAACCAATGAGAACCTACTTTGGATCTCACACTACAACAGTTATTGACACCTTTATATTTCAGCATTATTCTCCTTTCCTAAATCAAGTGTAGTGCATAATGTTTGAATGCCAACTTAAGCTGTTATATTATTTTTGCAAATTGGAAACATCTTCTGAGCAGAAAGACAATTCAGTTCAAAATGCAAGCACGTCAAGAAAATGTATTCTGATTTTTCTGCTCCTTTCATATAACGATTTATTTAACAGTTCCAAGATCAACATATAACACAATTTTTGTATTTACTTACACGGTGGTATGTTATTAAAATGTACTGTCCCCTTTATGTCAATTTTTTCATGATGCCAATATTGATAGGTGCATAGTCTTTGCACCTGTATTTGTTGCATTAAGTTTCATTAATTAACAGCCTGGAAATTTTCCAGGTTTTATTACTAGCAATATTAATTCCTTTGCCTTCCAAGCAAAAAAAAAAAACAACACCAAAAAAAAATCCCCATACATTACAGCAGCATAAGATGTGTTTCAACTATATATATTACATACTATGAGAAACTACTAATCCATAACTAGACTAGGAAAAAAGCTCCTTAAATGTTAGTGCTTTATTAGTATCTTGCCTTTGTATCTGAAATTTAACCCTAAAAGCACATAATACAAGTCTGAAGAAAGAGAGAACATGGTATCCTTCTGATTATTCAGGAACACATTTTAGTTATTAAGAATCGCTCAAAACTTTCAGCATCCAAGTTGTTTAATGCAGAAGACAAAAAAGTACTAAAAATGTAGTTTGATTTGTGTATCAATTTATACTGTAACATACCATTATACTCTACTAGTTATGACTGCTGTATGACATACTGAAATGCTTGTCTTCGATACCAATTTCAGTATTGAATTCTGCTCAGGGCTGAGAAAGCCTGCGCATACACTCTT